CTAGTAGTAATCTATACTAATATAAGTAAATCTACGTAAAGTTCTTCGAACTTACTTAAATACCTATAAGTAATAATACTTCTTAGTTATATAAGTGCTATATATTATAGATTTAGTACTACTATAAGTAATATATAACGGAAAGCGATAACTATAATAATATATAGCTAGATTATTAGAGCCCGGCCTAGGTCGGGGTAGATTAATAGCTTTTAATATATCGGTAATATATACGAGATAGGGATTATTCGAAAGCGTCTATTTCTATACTAATTACTTTAGAGTATTAAGATTTTAGGAAACTATATTATAATTATTATTAATTTATATAGATTATTACGAATTATATTATTACTAGCTAAGGATAGTATAAAAATTAGTAAATTACGTAAATCGTACTAAATTATAGTAAATCTATATAAATCTATATCTATAAGAATCGGGTAATATACCTAATAATCTAAAAAACTCTATAAAGAGTTAAGAAGTTTTTTAAAGAAAGGAATATTTCTAAGAAAAGATTTTAATATAGGTAGTACCTAGGCTTACCTAATTATATTACGTAATACGCTAGGCCTAATTAGATAATCTTACCTATATAAGAAGTTAAGATAGATAAAATCTAGTTAATTAGGAAAACGCTTATATAAATCTTAGATTAGTAAATATTAGTAAGTATCTAAGACGAAGCGTAGAGAATAACTAAGGTCTTATAAGACTTAGAATAGGGATATAGAGATAGGTAATAATCTAGGTTACTAAGGGCAGCTTCCTAGAGAGAAGGGATAATTATTAGAACTTAGCCTTAGATAGGACCCGACCTATACGTACCTTAGCTAATAGGGTTAGAAGGTAATATAAAGGGCGGTAAATAGTCACGTGCTAGATAGATTAGCGTCTCTTTATATATATACTCTCGGATTCCTACTAAAAGGGTTCGGTAGTAATTCGTTCTATAATAGAATACACCCTATTATTCTATCTAACTATACTACTATCTAATAACCCTATTCTTACATTAGATCTATAGGCGATAATACTAGACTAGTAGAAACTATACTAGTAAGTAGTAATAGCGTAGGAGACTTTAGATTAGATACTATAGCCTTCTTACGTCCTAGTAGCTAATAAGACTTATAGATAATAGTATTCTCGAAGGTAAGGAATATAGCCTCTAGTAAATCCTTTCTTACTAGACTATAGATCTTATTAAGGAAGGTAAGAAGCTTATTCTAGTTATCTAGACTCTAGTCTAGAAGTATTAACTATTTCCTAGTATGACTAGATATTCCGAGCTTTATAGTAAAGTCTTAAGTCTTAAATAGCTAGTTATTAGTACCGAGAGCCTTATTAATTAACTACTAAATCTCCTCCTTATATAACTCCTTCTTAAACTTATACTAGGCTTCCGTCTTTAGTAATATAGCCTTAATAATCTTTCTAAAACTATCTACTCTAAGTTACTAATTTATATAGATAGACTATATTATCTTATTAAGAGCCGCGTTATTATTCTATAGATTCTTCTTCTTCTCCTCCTTAACTATATCTCTATAAACTAAAGTAGAGTTATTAGTATTATTAGATATATTATCTAGTAAGGCTAGAGGATCGCTTAATAAGGGTATATTAGAGGGCGCTAGTAGTATATTTTTACGCCTCGCCGCTATCTTCATAGCCCTTAATACCTTATCTATACTATACTAGAGCGCCTTTAATATAGATATATATAGCTATAGCCTAGAAGATAGTAGTAGAGGTTCTATTAAGTTATTCTATCTAAATTAAATATCTTTATACTACTTAGGAGATATAATAGATAGTATAAAATAGTTAAAAAAATACTAATATATAGCTAATATCGTATAATACTAATATATAATAGGTATTTTAATAGGTATATGAGTATTCGTTAACGATGCCGTAAAATGTTAATTATATATAAAAACGCGTGTTGGTGGCATAGACGTGCATCGGGCGCTAAGCTTTCCCATGTAACTATGGACAAACGGATGGTCTCACGCGAGCTGGGTCGGGTGTCTAGGGGCTTTGAGCTCTGGAATGCTCAACAGGTCTTGTGCTCAGCCGTCGTCTTTCTTCTTTTCTTTGGAATGCTTTGGTGCTTGTGATGAAGCTTTTCTTTCAAACCACCTACAGGTGCTAAGAGAGCTCGGAATCTCCCATTCAATTTTGTTGGGACTTCATCTGGTTGGCCGTTTCCTCTTTCGGTTTGCTGCCTGATGTGTGCCTCGGCTGCCCTAATTTACATCACGAGAGCTCAAGGTGCAGTGTGCACATGTACAAGACACTTTGGTTCCGTCTAAGACTCTCGCCGTAGCATAACCTGCATGAACCTGCATGCTTCATGTCCGTGTGATATATATGTGTAGATATACTATGTACCTTTCATTACAGCGTGAAACCATCAAACCATACTTCACTCATATCGTGACCCAGGGGTATCCGTGCCGATTCACCAAGATGCGCCGAAAACTTCTCTTAACACAATCAAAAGTTCAAAACTTCTTCATCGCTGTACAATGCGTACGCTTAGTCGTCCCAAGGGAAATCAGCAGCTTCCACTTTGGTGCACGTCAGATACGGCAGGCCACCCCCTTCTCTCCCAAGATCCAGCTCCAGGTAATTACGCATCAGAGGTTTAACCACGTCGCGAGCCAGGTTCTTTACTTCATCCATTCTTCTCTCGAACCTCTTCAGGTTCTCTCTATTATAGGTCTCCGGATTTATCTTTAGAAACCTCTTCAATTCGTCGTGACCGAGATAGGCGGAGCCAGCGGATCCTATTAGCCTGAATATCCTGCCGGTGCTGGAGCCCGTCGCAGGCACGGGTGGTAATGGCTGACTCATCGAGTTGTTTCTACCGTGTGATCGCGCTGGATCCTTGAGTATTGGCGGAGGCATGGGCGTAGTATGCTCTGCCAGCCATTGTCGAAATAGAGACATGGCGAGCCAGTCCAGCCAGTGATTTGAGGGCGTCACTCGCTCGCCTCTTGAAGTTGTTAGGGTCAGTCGAAACAGTTTGCCCTCTATCTTCGCCTTGATCTCGTCTAACTCATCGACTTTGTCCTCGATCAACTCCATGACAACTTCCGGCGTTTGTCCGCGTAGTTGACTGGAACCTGTCGGCCACTGGCCCACAACATGAATCAATGCTTCCGAGAATATTACTTTCGATCTTGCCAGATAACCGAGCTTTAGATAGCTTGGTGGATATTTCGCAATCTGCTTGAAAAGGCGGCCCTGGAACCGAAGCAAGTGATGATCTACTCTGGGCCCTATAACCTCCAGCGCATCGTACATATCGGCGAGTTGTAGGAGTGTCTTGCACTGAACGTAGGCAACCGCGATATTGACAGCATCAAGGGCAGGAGCGTAGTTGTAGAAGATGCGAAATAGATTGTCGTAGTCTTGCAGAAGGTCATTCATGGGATCTTGCGCGGCTTGTGCTTGCTGGACGTTCAGGGTGGAGAAGTTGGCCATGGACCGGAAGAAGCCTGCATTCGAGGGTGGGGGTTTGTTTCGTACCGGAGGTGGCTGTGGAGTATGATCACCTCCAAACAGCGTCTGTGTTGCTTCCTGTCGCTGTGTTAGCACTCATCTTGTGCAACATGCCAGCAGGGCCGGCTGCTGTGGTTTGCTCACCTTTTGCACTAGGATGGGCAGATCATTTTCCTCCCCATTTCCCCAGTCCAGTTCATACCTCCACCTCTTCTTCTGACCTAATTCTCCAGCTCCAGTCCTCACAAGCATGGCATCTTGCGAGCCTGGTCCTGAGGGCCCGTTGGACTCGGTCGTGCGTGACCATTCCTCGCTCGTTCCAGCCTCAAAGAAGCCGGAGCACTGCGACAATATCAAGCGATGCAACAAATATCTCTGATCTTTCCTTCCGTCCTGTGATTTCAGTATTATCTCGATATCGCCCGTGTGCGTAAAGACTGGGAATTCGTTCTGTGGCTGATATGCTGATCCACCATAGTGGGAGCGGTGCGGTCTATGCCGACGCACAGTTGAAGGTCGTGATGTCGCCGAAACGACTGAAGGAGTCCGCCGTGTGAGTGTCCGTTCTGCCGAGTCGGGATAGGAGACCATAGTGTTGTCGCAACGCGCTGGAAGAGCAGCGATGCCTCACTATACCGGACTCGTGGTTGGCGACAAAACACAGCGCGCGAAGTGCATATAGAGATCAGACGTTCGAGCCGCCCGGCAAAAGGTCTTTGTGACTCTCCTCCGTGATCGAAGCTGAGGTGTCAATGCACTCACTGCAGGCTGATTGGATTTCGTCCCAAGGTCCGTACAAGGAACAGGTCCCTTGAGAATCACTGGACAGCGGGGCCGATGAGGTGAGGCTAGTATCCGACGCCAGGAACAGACGGGGATAGGTGGACAGCCGAAAATCACGGGAGTTTCTCAAAGGTGTTGCGATACATGGACAATGATTGTCTTCGCTGCTCAGTACGCAGAAAGTGTTTCAAAATCGATTTACAAGTCGTAAAGCGAAAGGCGCGCTCGTCCGTGGCGAGTTGAGCCCTAACTCACCCGATGCATCTGTTGCATGTCTGCGGCTTCGGTTCATCCGTATATCCATAGTTGCATGGGAAAGCTTGGCGCCCGATGTTCGCCGTGTCACCAACACACACGATTTAGTATAATCGACATTTTTATCTATTACTACTATAGTATACTTATATAGTATCTATAACTATATAGTATAGTATTAAAGAGGTAGTATAACTAATATATAGTACTATTAACCCCTAATACCTCCCCTATATCTATCTAGAGTACCTTTAAATATAGAGGTATATACCTAGCTAGACGTAAGAATATCTCTATATAACTACTCTTTTTTTATAGTTTTAGAGGTATTATAGATAATATAAAGTAATATAAAGGCTATAGAGATATAATAAGGATTATATAGAACTAATATTTAGTAATATTTAGTACTATATAAGTATTATACGGCGGTAATAGATAAAAATGTCGATTATACTAAATCGTGTGTGTTGGTGACACGGCGAACATCGGGCGCCAAGCTTTCCCATGCAACTATGGATATACGGATGCGGATTGGTCACTGCTGTTCCGCCAATAGAAAAGTGTAGCCGCACCAAGACGATCCAAGTGTGGCGCAGTCACGCATCTACACAGCTGCCCATGAATATTTTGATTCAGCTTCGCTTCGATCCTACTCCAGTGAATATAATACTTCATACATATGTTTATACAGTCAATACCGTACATCCATGAATGTCATTCGACAGACGTGCACTACCGACGCTTGATAAATTCGGCGCCGTCCATCCATGGTCGGAGTACCTCCGGTATCCTCACACTCTTCTCTGCAGCATCCCAGTGGTTCTCGAGTAAGCAGGCGAGGACTCTAGGCACAGCTAGGGCTGTTCCATTCAATGTATACGGGAATTCTAGTCGTCCACCTTTATTCTCAATGCGAACTTGCGTAGCTAGGCGTCGTGTCTGATAGTCGGTACAATTCGACAGCGAAGAAACTTCTCCCCAACCTTCATGCTTCTGTTGCCGTGATGGAAAGTATGCTTCAATATCCTGTTTCCTTGTCGCGCTGGCTCCGAGATCGTTGGATGGCATCTCCAGAATACGGCAATGCAATCCCAACGATTCCAGAATTTCCTTCTGCATGTCGAGCATCTCTTCGAAAATCTGTTGTGACTGTTGTGGCTTTGGCTCGCCAAAATGTTCACCGGAGCAGTTATCAGGAAGAGTCCAGGCAAACATCTCAACCTTTGTGAACTCATGGACCCTGTATAGACCTTTTGCGTCAACACCTCGTGCTCCTGCCTCAGCGCGATAACACCTGTTGACGCCAATAACCTTGAGCGGAAGATCCGCGTCTGGGATAGATTGACTTGCTTTCATTGCAGCCAATGGTATCTCGGCGGTCCCAGCAAGTGCGAGACTAGGTCTTCCTTTGTCTTTCTCTAATTGTTCTAGAGTATAGATCTGTTGCTCCTCGCCCTGGTCGCGAGGTTGGAATCCACAGGCAGCCGCCATATGAGTGTAGACAATCGATGGCGGAGATACTGCCATCCATCCTCGCTTCCTGGCCACGCTGAGTGCATACTGTATGAGAGCATACTCCAACATGGCACCTTCATTGATGAGGTAATACCAGCCCCATCCGGAGGTAGTCGCAGCAGCAGTGAAGTCCAATAGTTGCAGCTCTGTGCCAATATCGACGTGAGATATCCCGACACCTTCTGCTGGAGGTGGTGGCTCATTGATATAACCAACAGTGTGCGGTGTGGAACCAAGGGGTGTTGAGGTACTGGAAAGATTTGGGAGTCCCCAAGCTAAGTCCTCTATCTGCTGTTGTATTGACTTTTGCTCCTCCTCAAAGCCACTCAATGGAACTTTCAAACTTTTTGCTTCTTTGATAATCGCTTCTTTGCTTAGGATCTCTGTTGTTGATGCGGCTTTACTTTTGCCTTTGGAGACCACCTGTTTCAGCATCGCTTGTAGATCATTGTTTCGAGTACGGAGCCGCCTAGCCTCATGCTCACAGGTTTGCCATCTACCAAACAGCTCAGCTATCTGCCATGAGTTTCCTTCTAAGCTAGCGTAGTTGCGCTCGACGCAGTTTTGGCTGTACAAGCCCGGATTCAGTCGTATGTGCTTTATGTCCAGGGTCGGCTTTGGTGCAATTGAGGGCCTCACGTAGGACCTAGGATGCTCCGTAGTCCGTCCATTCCGAAATGCTTTCCTCCCGATGAATCGAGCAGGACAACACCTTTTCAGCATGAGTACCGATGTTAAAATCGTGGTCATGAATACAGAGTCACGAGATGTAACAATGTCAGTCAGGATTGAAACTGCCAAGACATCGGCGAAAATTCGGAATAGCTATCCAAGCAACGCGTCTCACGCCCAACGCGTCTTCATCGATTCACTGTAATTCACTGTCAACGGAAGTGTCCAATGGAAGTACGACCTCAATGGCAGACCGTGTCGCTGAGGCACATGTCAATTTGAAAAGACGGGCAGAAGAACACTTGACAGCCTCCGCCCTGAAAGTCGCACGCCATGAACCCAAACCACCAAACCCCTGGATTTGCACTTCGAAAGAACGCTTGGCGGGTATGGGTACCCCGTATCGTGTATCCAGATCATCCTTTGAATGGGACCGACAATGAAGTCCATGTTCTTCCTTACCCCTTGACTCTGTTCCCAAAATCATCGTGGCGCAGATTTCATGACATCAACCCCTCCGGTACTACTGATTCTCACTACGTATGCCGCCATTGCAACAGAGACCGTGGCGAACCTCCTGCGCATAAGCGCAAACTCTTTCTTGTTGCTGAAAGACTGTGCTGGGGCTTTGGGGCTACATTGACTTTGAGTAAAGACATTAATGAGATGCTGTTATGGCAGGTCAACTACAGCCTTGGGCTCCTGGATCCATTCATTGAACCTCCAGGACAAAAGCCCGGTGGTACATATAGTCAGAACAACGAATGGTACCCGTTCGCTTCGGAATACGAGATGGAAGCGGCTATGACTCTGGTTAGTAAGCCGGATGCCTTTTCCAAACATTCATTCAAAACATGGCTCGGAATTTTGGATGCATTCGACCCGCCTGCAAGCGACGTTCATGAGCCTAGGCAAAGCCCTTTGGCAGATACAGATGGGAATGCTCGACGCAATGTTGAAGAGCTAGCTAAGGAGAGCATTACTCCAAATCAAAACAACGTCCTACAGCCAGCATCCTGTAGCAGAATATCACAAACAGACAGTCAGATCGGCTCATACAGAACACTTGTGAGCTTCTACGCGCTTCTAGATAAGATTGAAAGGACATCATACGTCGGATCACGCTTTCTGGAAGCTTATGCAGACCATGTCCGCAACGATATATGCCAGGACTGCTGGTTCACGCATCTCGTGAAACCCGATATGTCAGACGAAGATCATGCGTCACTTTTCATGCCAGAGCAATCGACAAGTGCGGCTTCCACATCAACACTTGCATCGCAAGCACAAGTACAAGAACAAACTGCATCACTAGCGTCGTCTTCCGCTTCAAGCTCTAACTTGGGAGCAGTCATGCAGCAACCAAGTACGCAGCTACAACAACGGAGACATTCACCGCAGCCGCAACAACCCGATCAAACCGCAACGCCTGTTCAATCTGAAGCATTGTGTGTCAGTACAGGGTCGTTCGGTAATTTGTCACCAGCGCCAAATTCATTTTTGCCAAATAGGTCGCACGCTTTCTCACCTCGACAATACTTACCGCCCACCTCCTTAGGGACTGCGATCTCTAGCCGGCATGAGGCTCCTTGTGCCCGCGGCCCGGCCCTACCAAATAGTTCTTCCACTTCTGCCCTTTCAGTCGAAAGAAACCAATCCATACGTCTTGCTTCAGTCTCTAGCTCATCGACTAAAACATCACAATTCCCACATGTTCCATCATCGGAACAAGCTACGCCTTCAATGCATGCACAGCGATCATGTCCGACACGAGCAGCATATCCTGAGAATGTAGAAATAGAGGGATTAGCGCGGCCGACCGGAGGTGCAGCATCATCTGAACAACGAGCAAGCTCGCGAGGAGCAGCGTCACTCAATCAAGGAGCCATATTTTCACCATCTCAAGCGAAGTCTTCAACAAAAGCAGTGCAGTTATCTGTTGGAGACCATATAGGAAAGGATGCTTCTGACGGTCTGGGATCGCCGCAAATTCCGATATCCACTCATTGCCGCCGACTATGGAACCATGCTGGCTCAGCCGCCCAGATCAAGAACGACTTCAAGGCCGGAAACCCGCTTCAGGTCTTGTTCAATATTTATAGGGTGCCAGGGTACGCTAGGGTCCGCGTGCAGGCATACTTGGAGAACTGTGCTCCGCGAGCTTACGAAGAAAAGATGACCCTTCAATGTGTATACGCTGCGCATATTCACTGTACTGCCTGCTCTCCTTCGTCCATATCAGAACGGAAAGAGACGGAGCTCGCTGACAAGTCGACACAGCCAGTCAGTCGAAGGTCGAATGAAAATGGACATATAACAATCTCTGCAACCCTGCAATCGGCCTCGTCTGTTATGACTGATCCAAGACCATTGAACTACTTTGTGGATACGGAGAACGCTGTCCTGCACTCTGCACTTGATCCTGCTCCTTCAACCCAGCCGCTCCAGAGCATACGTGGAGGCAGTTGTCATGTAGCCAGTAGAGCTGCTTGCTACACCATGGTACCGAAGAAGCCGGATACTCCAGCTCGTCCGCGTGGCCTCGGTTTGAGCATCATTGCACCAACATCGATCACGTCGCTCCCGTCATCGAGGAATTGCCGGTCGCCAGGTGCCGATGGACGCATGACTGCCAGTGAAGGAGGATCGTTGAACAAGATACAGGATACGAGGAAGAGCGAGAGTGCCCCTCAAATCGGATCGACAGGAAGATGGAATAGGACTCGTGCTAAGAATCAGAGTAGTGTCGATTCCAGTTCACGCGCTGTTGTCTCAACCTTGTTTTCTACTGGTCAATCAACTTGCCTTGCTAGCCTCGAATTCTTCTTTGCTGGATTATTGCCAACTTTGACATTTTACGATGCCTACGGTCTTGTGGGGCGTCACGGTGGCAAAGTTACCGCTGTACCTAGCAAGAGGACAAACTACGCTGTCCTCGGCGCCGATGTCGATTCCATCATACACCAGGTGATAAAGCAGAATAACATAAAGAGCATCACTGAAAATGGTCTTTACGAGCTGATTCGTTGTTTATCTACGAATATCGAAGTCAGTAGTGCTGCGGGTTCTCGTGCAGAAATGCGGCATTCTGTCTCGTCACCACATCATATCAACGTAGACCCACGGCTTGAAACTGCTGGCAGAATAGCCAGGGAAACCTCGCAGCGCGTTGGGGTTTCGCAAGGTCCTATGACGAACATACAAACCACCTTGAATTCTGATATACCCACCATTCCAGTCCAACCCACTCACCGAGTTTCAACGGACTTCACGACTGGTATTCCGGAAGGAACTGTTCAAGCTGGAATAGGCTGTTCGAAACAGAATACCCATCCTGAGCCTGACACTTCGAGGGAGACTGTATCAATAGCGAGCATTGAACTGGTCCCATCGCCCAGACGGTCCACTAGTCAGCAGAAGACCATAGCACGCGTTCCCTCTCTCGCATCGCCTTCGATGTCACCCACACGTGAGCCCGACAGAACAAAGGAAACCGCGAATCCCTCATCAATGACTGCCCCTGCAGCACCGTCTACAAAAAGTCCGAAGACTCCAAGCAGTGGAAACTCAGCAACGAACCGCCGACACGATGAGTTGATCAAACGGTGGAAGAATAACCACCAAAGTATCGAGCGAGAACGTCTGGGAGGGCACAAACCTGCACCAGGCAAAACTAGTGACAACAACCAAGCGGCCAAAATCGACAGCCCTCTACAGTCCACTCCAAGCCAGCGAGTACAACCATTCAGCTCCTCGGCCAAGGACAAAGCAGCATCAATCCGCACCCCCAGCTCCAAGCATATATTAACTCCCATCCCCAAATCTTCGCAACTCCCAAAACCGACCCCACCCTCATCCTCCCAACCAGCCCGAAACAGCGCCCTCGCTGCCAAATTCGCCTTCCTCACCACACCACTCCCTCCACTCCCAACCGCTGTACCCGCAAGAAACTCTCACTCCCTCTCCCGAACGGCCGCATCCCAAAAACCCCCATCTTACAGCCAGTTGCAGTCGACACTCAAATTCTCATCCAGCCCAGTCCCTAAATCCGAACGCTCACCTTCCAGTCAAAACGCACGCCGCACCCCGCTTCGACCGACAACCTCGAATCGCGGCTCCAGCGCTTGTCCGATTATGTGTGACTCGCCGAGTCCGCCGCCCATGGTGCGGGGGAGACTGCATGGCACTTCGACTCCTAATGGAGCTTCTAGAGGAGGGAAGGCGGTGAGGAATCATGGGAGGAGTGCGAACGGGAATGATGTGCCACCGCCTTCGACCGCGGCATTTTGAGATTGATATGAGTTGTATGGCTGTAATCGTGATTGGATCGTGCAAAGCTTGATTTTGGTTGATTTTGGCAACTCATCATGCCTTGGATAGTGCTCTGGAAATGGGCTTGCGTCTCCGGGACATTCTCGAAAAGGAGAGGTTCGGGGCTTTGTGGCAAAAGTCGATTAGTATAGCATTCCTGGTAGCATGTGTTTGGAGATACCCCCTTTTGCACGGCCTAACATAGCGTAGCGTTACGTAGCATTGCGGAAGCAAGCATAGCACACACATAGTAGTATAAAGCTGGCTTGATATCAAGATCTGGTTTTCGCAAAGTCGAATTTGCCAGTACCCAACAGCACTTTGGCCTCTCCCTCCCAAGGAGAAGTTAAGTCGAGAGCGACGCATATTTCGAACTGTGGATCTTTCAGAAAATGGATCAACCTGAATTGAGGTCTTCTCTATCGACCGCTCTATACCGCGATCCGACACAGACACACAGACACACAGACATAAAACGAACAAGAAGAGCGGAGTCTGCAAATCCCATCCCACGCTCGCGTATACCGACCGCCCATGCATGCCCAAGTAGAAAGCCATCATCATGACACACAGAAGACGGACGTAAAAGAAAAATGCCCTCAAAAATGCCAGAACCGCTCGTAGGAAAGAAGATCGAAATCCGTCATAGCTCCCAATGGAATTGAGAAAAAAAATCGTATTCATGCTGCAAGACGTACTATTCCATTATCCGTGGCCAAAAGTGCGCAAAAAGGCCCACAGACCGGCCCCACACAGCACCGGAATGGTCACGTTGTCGTCCCAGCCAAACAGATCGATTGCCTCGCTCACGCTGCCCACGAGACCGGCCCAGATGCTCATGACGCCGAGTGCGAGACCGCCTGAGATGGTGACCACCTCCTTGGACACACCGAGCAGCTCCCGGACCTGTCCTGGAAGCACGAGCGCGCCCTGAAATGCGAACGCGTAGCGGCCGGTGTCGTACTCGGCGGGCGTGTAGTGCGAGATGACGCCCCAGAAGAGCCCTGCGGTGGCGATACCGGTGATGAAGGCCGCAATGCTACCCGCGAGACTCTTTCCGCGGCGGACTTGCGGGGTGTATTTGCCCCATAGGCGGCCGAAGGTTGATGCGGCGGTGTCGCACCAGGAGAGAAGGAGGATGCTCATGACGCCGATGTCTTTGGGGAGGAGTAGGAGTACGAGGTATGCACCGAGGAGATAGGATATGGTGCCGTTCCAGCCATCGACTTCGGATTCGCGCATTAGGGCGCCCAAGCAGCGGATGTAGAAGCGGTTCACCGAGGGGTAGTTGTGGCGGATGACGTCAGTTGCGGCGATGGGGATGAGCAGAGTGAGAAGGACAGGGTGAATTGAGGTGGGTTGGCGGCCGGTAGTGTAGAGATAGAGGGTTACGAAGCCAATGGAGACGTGGAGGATCTTTCGCGGGATCTCGTGTTTGTGGATCTGTAGAATGGTCAGTTTGCACGACTATGGTAAGTCTTGTAGACCGAAGCACATACAAAGGTCCGCCATTTCTGGTGTATAGGAATGAGACCAAGAGGACTTGGGCTGCGGCTCATTTGTCTCCAGTATCGCTTGTTTGCACTTTCGGGAGAGAGCAGACCGTTGGTAGTACCATTCGGAACAAGTGGTTCGGACTTTTTCACCTGATTACCGGCCCTTTTTGACGGCACTGAATTCCTCGCAGTGAGACCACTCATATTTCGCCTATTCCCATCTAACGCAGGACTCCTGCTGCGGGTTCTGGCCCTCTTCTCTGGGTCGCGGTCTGAGCCCGAACTGTCTTCATCAATAGGCGGAGGAGATTTTATTCTTGAACCGCGCATGGAGCGTGTAACAGGACCAAAATATCCATCTTTGCCTCCTGTCTTAGACGGTGTCTCACTCGGGGTGGGAGAGGGTGATATGACGCGTGGCGTCTCTGGTATTCGCACACTTGCCATGGCGTGTTTCCAACAAAACTCGAAAGGAGGGAGACTTGGCGAATGCGCAAGACCGGAAATTCTGCTGCACAGCTGCGGCAAGAGGTATTCAAGAGGCGTGAAGGGACAGCTGGATATCGCGGAGGCGTCCTCTACAGCTGGTGTGATTGCTATTGTAATGGAATGCGCCCGGGCTGAATACCGCGACTGCGTTGCATGATCTAGAGGCGTTTCGGATGCCACAGTTGGCACTGGGAGGGAGAAAGGCCCGTAGAGGACCTGTGGGCGACAGGGAGCGTAGGAGAGGTTAAGGTAGTGAGTTTGTGGGCGAAGACGAACAAGGCACGCGGACAAAGGACAGAAGAGGCATGTTGTCGTCTGTAACTTTCTAGCGACTCGCGGCAAACAGCGGGTCGCACCCATGTGATCCATCGGGCTTGGCGGCGGTGTTAGCTCCGACATCTAGGAAAAAAAGTTATCAGTTCGTGAACATGAGGCTCATGAGCATTTCGAACATGTGCAGCAAAGCGATATCAACTAATGATCTTCTACGACTGGCGTAATTCGTCTATCTGTACTCCAATAGCTGTCGCGGCTCAGCCAGACTTCCCAGAATGGTGCCCAAGCAGACAGAAAAAGGCACATCAAGAGCTTGGGAGGCGTTGACACCAGCACTATCAGAATGGATCCTCGACTATGTATCGAGCAGAGGCTTCAAACAGATGACTCCAGTACAGGCTAGCACAATTCCACTGTTCCAGCAAGGGAAAGATGTTGTGGTTCAGGCTGTCACAGGAAGTGGAAAAACGCTAGCGTTTCTGATACCTTTGGTGCAGCGACTGCTCCGTGTTGACGAGCCCACACGCAAGCATCATGTTGCGGCGATCATAATATCGCCGACCAGAGAGCTTGCGAAGCAGATCCACACCGAGCTGATATCACTGCTGAGATTCCACGGACCCTCTGCTGCAGCCTTACGGACTCAGGATGACGACTCTGATGCTGAGATGGATGGGGACGTACCAGAACCCGCATATCCTGCATCAACGCCAAAGGTCGTTTCTCAATTACTATCTGGTGGCAAGAACACGAAGCCGGCCCAAGATTTGAGTGCATTTCTCAAGATCTCACCTAATGTCCTTGTTGCCACCCCAGGTCGCCTGCTTGAATTACTTTCATCGCCGTATGTGCACACGCCACAGTCCTCCTTTGAGGTCTTGATCATGGACGAAGCAGATCGGTTATTGGATCTTGGCTTCAAGGATGATCTGCAGAAGATCTTGCAGCGGCTCCCCAAGCAGCGCAGGACCGGTCTATTCAGCGCTAGCGTAGAGAAAGCCGTTGACCAGCTCCTGAACGTTGGTCTCCGCAACACCATTCGTGTCACCGTCAGCGTTCGTGGAGAAACAGGGAAGCTGGACAAAAAAACGCCTGCCAGCCTCCAAATGACCTATCTAGAACGTTCACCTTCACAAAAACTTCCCACCGTCATCAAACTTCTCAAGACCCTTAATCCAACACCACAGAAAACGATAGTATACCTTTCTGCCTGTGCTGCTGTTGACTATTTTCATCATATGCTTCAAATCCTGCTCCCCAACTTCGCAATTCTTCCGTTACACGGTAAATTGAGTCAGCACATTCGCGAGAAGAATTATGCCAAGTTTGCCGACTCTCTCGCTCCCTCAATCCTTCTTACAACCGACGTCGCCGCACGTGGTCTTGACATTCACGCCCTCGATCTTGTCATACAATTAGATCCGCCGTCGGATCCAAAAACATTCATACACCGTTGCGGTCGCGCTGGACGTGCTGGACGTGCTGGGCTTGCCGTGCTGTTTCTCACACCACAAGAATGTATGCCTTACGTCGAGTATCTGGATGTTCAGCGCACACCCATCCGGCCATTGACGCACCCGGACGTGTCCGTCACGGCGACCGACGCGGAGGATGTGACGTCGAAGATGCGCAAGGAAGTTTTGACCGATCGCGCGCTGCATGATAAAGCCCAACGAGGCTTTGTGAGTACAGTGCAAGCGTATAGCAAACATGTTGCAAAGAGCATATTTCGCGTTGGAGACCTTGATTGGACGGAGATGGGTGCAGCCTGGGGACTACTGCGCTTGCCTCGCATGCCGGAGCTGAAAGGATGGGAAGGTGACAAGACACTCGGCGTGGTCTGTGATTACGATACGTATGAATACAAAGACAAGCAACGAGAGAAGGCGCGTATCGTCGCTTTGGAAGCATGGAGAAATGGGGATGGCAAAGTTGGAGAGGGCAAGGAAGAGCGAGAGAAGCGGGAAAGGAGAAGGGGAGAAAGTGTGGCGTGGAGTGAGAAGAAAGGAAGGTTAGATATGCGACAGGAACGACGTGAGAAAAAGCATAAGCGGCGTGAGATGGAACAAATAGCGAAGATGACACCAGAGCAGCGAGCAGAGCGCGAGAGACTCGAGAAGATGATTCAAGTTGTGAGGGAGGAAGTGAAAGGGGCTGAGAGCGAATTCGAGGGGTTCAGCGACTAAAGAGTCATAGCTCTTCAGAATCTAGTTGCTTTCATGCCAAAACAGAAGATAGTATTGCGACGCGGCAACCATTGAGGAATGCCAAATGTCTGACTTCTAACTGTTTGGCTCACAACTCTCTTACACTTCGACTACTCATACTACACACGAATGATCTCGCCAAGCTTCAAGGCTGGTTCGCTGCCTCACGTTCGGCACAATGTCAGAAGAGCGAAAAAAAAAATTCAGGGGGTGAGATGGAATTCGGCAAAACAAAACTGCACCCCTGGGTATTGAACCCAGGGCCTATCAAGATGCTGCAGAAACCGTTCCCCTTAGGATGGTTTTTTTCTTCCGAGTGCGCGTTGGAGGCCCTTAAGCCATCAGTGCCGCTGACTGAAAGCCTCCAACTTTTTAAAGAATATAAAGCATGAAAAGGCACCACAAACGTGTTTTGGGTGTGGCTTCCTCACTCGCGTGCAAACACGCCGTGCACAACATCTCGTTTGCATTCACTTGCTATCACACGGGAGTGAAAATTCTTACTGGCAAAGCGGCCACAATGACGTGTTTGCTTGCACGATATTCAATATTGACATAGTTCACTGCGGCGACCAGTGTCCGCCCGCACGCGCCTAAGCTCTACCGTCCTCGCATTCACACTCTTCTTCGTGCTTGAGCTGCTCTAACACCCCAATACACACACTTTCGCATCATCTCTATTTCAATCACGATTGTTCCATCACGCTCCCAATCTTCACACGACACTCCTTTTCATCTTTGCTCACCATCTCAGACCTGATCATCATGGCTGGGTCCAAGCTTTGGATGAGCGTTGTCAGCAAGCTGTCAGCGAGGAAGCAGAAGATAGGATCTCAGCCCATCGTTGCCCAACAAACTACCAATGCTGCTCATATTGAGTCTGAGCTAAAGCTTGAGGACCATCTCCATGTACGTGCTATATTCCAACCTATATATTGTTAACCATCGGACTGACGTGTTAAAGGACCAACACACTGATGACAATCGTAAGAAGATCAGTCACTCTATCAAACGCTTCTGGGCCCGTCATGTCAAGCATGACGCAAACACGAAATTGGTCGATTGTGAAGAAGAAAGAGTTGAAGAAAGAGAAGAAGGCCTAGTCAACAGTGACAAGTATGGCTCCTTTGTAACCTCCGCACCTCCTGAGGATCTCACCTTCGTCGGAGAGTTGGCTGTGGAGGTCGTTAGCGAGGATCAGTCCGATATGCAGGATTCTGTCACATCTCCCGTCACTGACAACGTCGTTCGCCAAAACGAAAAGTCCAACGAGAGTATCGCAATCATGGATTCGATGGTAGTCAGACTGAACCAGGCCACGGACGACGGCGACAGACAAGTACGATTCATGGAATCTGATGACACACTCCGTGATCCTGAAGCACCTACTCCCGGTGCAGTCGCAGTTATCTCACCGAGCCTGATCAATCTTCGCGGTATCGATGCACGCACTCCTCGATCTCCAGCATTGAACTTTGCTGCGATAGCCAACGATAGCTTTCAAATGTATCTAAGATCTATGAGATCACCCCAACTCATGATTACGAACTGCGAACACGAAGCTGCAGCATCGCAGGAATGTGGTACGGGTGCTCAGGAGGGCTTAGTGGACTCAGAAAGTCTCCCTCATTGCATCACTGAGCAAGCATCTGAGGATACGCTTCGCGACGCTGGCTACACTACGTTTCCAACCCCTTACGACCGCTCTGTAACTGATACAGCCTACATCACGAAAGAGCCGAGCACGTCTGTCCTTCCGCCAATGATGTCCCCACTCGCCGTGTCAGATCATATCAAACCGGATGAGCGATATGGAGAATCACTTGAACATGACGGTTCACTGCCACTTGAGCATGAACGTTCATTGCAATCGCTCGCCTCTCTCCATGAGTCAGGAGCTGCTGCTGAGATATATGTGAATGCGTACGATTCAATCATGGCACTAGAAAAGCTCATTAGCGAGATAGACAGGATTGTGGGCGACTTCAAGTCACTCAGGGGTCTCAGAAATATCTCTCGAACTCAGACCAGGGTCAAGCACCATGAAAATCACCTTCCAACAATGCCGGGCCATCCAACCGGCGCTGGAATCCAACCAGCTGAGCCGTCTCAGAGCGATCTATTGACTGATACATCTGACGCAAGTTCATATGCTCCAATCGACTGTAATCTCGACTCTCTCGAAGAAGAAGACTATTGCAATACAGCGGTCGTGCATGAACAGGAATTGACTGCTCTGGAGGAGCTACACAAAGACTCTGTCTTGGTCAAACCTACATTCAACCTGAGTCAGATCTTGACAAACTGCGACATTGTTCCAAGAGCTAGTGCGACTGTTACAGACGCCACTCAAATCGACACTGTTAAAGAACCTCAATGCGCTGTACAGTTTCGATCGCAAGAGAAGCAGAGGGTGTCACCAAGTCTCTCCTGTGACTGTGGAGACGAGAATGAGGATAACAAGGGCAAGCATACTGTCCTTATCGAGCACAGCCCAGCAACTGCATCTTTCTCTGACTCTGCGACAAACAAGGGCAACCTTTCCGATCGTGGTGCAAGCCACAATGCACATGGCGGCATCTTTCCAATGAATCAAGACCAGGACCAATCGCTGTCCTATCCAGACGTTGGTTTCTCAAAGTTGCCGCTACTATGCGACCTTAAATCAAAGCATGAAATCACGAACAACCAAGAAACGAGCCCTCGCATTGACTTGTCTGAACAGACTCCCAATCTCCCACAAAAAGCCACAACCACAAAACCACATTGTCGATCCCGGTTCTTCAACCAAGGCCAGCTAATTCAAAGGGGGCCCACGGGCATAACCCACCCTCCCATCAGAGCCATACCGACCAATAGACAACCTCCACTCCAATTCCCCATCCCCCGCCGCCTCAGCCGCGAACACACGCCAATCCTCCTCGCCAAACTCGAAGCCGCAGCCCGGACCTACTCCACGCTCTCCACCACCCCAGCACCACAATACGCCCTCGTCACCCCGGCAGTCTCCCTCGCTCAGCAGGCGTACAACCTCGAGCCCCTTCTCCAGCACCAAGACGTCCCACCGGCGCACCGCGTCCGCGGCCATCGTGGCAGGGGTGTCCTCAGCGCGATTGTACACGCGGCTGCAGGTGCCGTTGTCCGTGGCCGGTCGCCGGTGGGTGAGGTGTGCGGCCTCATGTCGCTGCGAGAAGGGGTGGCGGAGGTGACTCCTATGGAGGTGTGGCTGGAGGGTGCGTTGGAGAGCGTGGGGCTAGTGAGGGGGTTTGTGGGCTTGAGTCCTGAGATGGCTGTTGTGTGAGGTGGCTAGGAGGGGATGGGAGGGTTAGGGGCGGGTGGGTAGGATGGAAATGGGAAGGGAGGGGGGATGGTGGGAGAGGTGAACAGGGCATACGAAATGTATTTTGCGTAGGAGAGGGAGCAGGGGAGGATTGTATAAGTATTACAGTAGCATATTCGGGCCAGTCTGGTGTAGCGTAAGAATGGAATGAATATGCTTGAAGTACGAATTTTGAAAGACAAACCAAGGCACAGTAGATCATCATGTCCGTGATAAGTCTAGAATCATATAGAGACTAGACGTGATGTACAGTCTACTAGGTGGAAGCTATAAGAAATAATATTATCATGTAGGTATTACCTAGATTCTAAGTAGCAAGAGTAGAGTTATACTGTTAGAGAGAAGAGATGAAAGTAGTTTCTTATCTTAATATAATTCTATTATAGAAGAGATATTAGACTAGATAGAGAATCTACCAGACTAGAGAGTATACAAATACTACTACTATGTATCTATTAAGTGATTCTATAAAAGTATAAAAATAATATTTTGATAGAGAGAAGAGACGATAGTAGTTCCTCTATTTAATAGAAGACTATTATAACATAGAGATTAGAGTATAAGAGAAGTATAAATGTTTAAAGAAGTAAGTAATATCATTCCTAATTAGATATTAAGTGTTTTTTTAGTAGTAATAGTATAGTAATCCTACTAGAGAGAAGAGACTATAGTAGTTTCTCTAATGAGTAGAAGGCTATTATAGTATAGAGATTAGGAGACTAGAGAAATTTAGTTATGTAGAGAAGTAAGACATTATATACTTTTCTATATATCTAGTGGATCTTGAAGTATGATTCATAGTATCTCTAATAAAGAGAAGAGACTATATTAGCTTCTTGGTTTCATAGACGTCTATTTTGCTATAGAGATAGGAAAATAAGAGAGTTTTATCTAGATAGAGAAGTAGAAGATTCTGTAGGAATCAAAGATATCTATTTAACAGCATCAACTCCGGCTCTTTTGTTCATTCATTTATGATATCGAACACTTGGGGAAGACTCTCTAGCAAGCCGATGAGCGGATGGATATCATCCATTATCATATACTTCTTATCGATGTGAACGGTCTCTTCTTGCCCGACGGTTCTGTCGTATATCTGCAGCTTGCGGCTCCACGACTGGGGTACCATTTCGAAAATTGCTCATACCTTCTCTCGACTTCATTGGAATATTTGAGGATTCCAATCCGTGAGCCGTCTCTATGATCGATGAAAGGCGGAATCTTGACTCTAAACAACGCTGAATCTGGTATTTGTAGGGCTGCGCTCGAATTCGCAGCGCTGCTGAGTCGCAATTTGTACTTGTCCACGCCCAGCCCGGCACTGCGACATGGAACTGTCTGTCTTGCATGTTTGCTGGGCCCCTTATCTGTGCCCGCCCGCAGTCAGGTGTGTGCCTAGCGAATTGAACGGCGATTAATATCATGCGACATTGTCTGACAGACCCTGTTATGTATTGGATGACGGAAAAACTTAATTTGCGATAAGGCGTATATATTAATGTGTTCCAGCCAGCAAGTACATTTATCAAACTATTTCATAGCTAATGGCTCACACTCTGATTTCATAAGAAGTAAAGTAGATAGAGGAATACGACATATGAGTGTTACAGAAGCCGAATAAGTATCAAAGATAGCCTTGTATACAAGGAAGGAGTTATGCTTAAAAACCCTGGTCAGAGCAGGCAAGAATGTGTCCTTGATCTGAAGAGAGCGCCCGAATACTCATTCAGTAAGGGGTCGCTCACGACCATAGCGCATTTGCGTATATCAGTTCTTCTCGGACCATGGCGTCTGCTTCAAGGGATTGCAGTGGCACATGAATCGATCGAACTCTAGGCAAGCGAATTCCATACCGACAAGTTAAACTGCCATCGAGATACGATGTGTAGGAATTTTGCACATGCATCTTTTGACCTGTCAAACTCACCAAACCATAAAAGATCTCTGAGAAGACATGCTTAACTGTGTGAAATGCTCGATCTCGATGACCATGACCATGAGGAGGTAGTCGTTAGACGGTTAATTCGCATCCATCATGCTCTGAGTAACTGGATGCTGAGTTCCCGACTGGTAATCAGCGCAGAAATTCCCTGACAGACGAAGTTGAAAGTGATGCGTTGTTCAATTTCGCGTGATCTTCCTTACTTCCTCAGGATGCAGGTCAACTTCAAGGACTTGAGAATACCTCTGAATTCTCGCCGTACTTTCGGATGAAGTGATCTATACCACTTTTTGCTTGAACTGGAGAAGTCTAGCAATTTCATGGAAGCTGTACCTTGTGGCCATGCATCTATGATCGGGTCAAGCGGGCCTCCTTTGACGACAGTGATCGTTGCAAGCACGAAGAATTTCTGAACCTGAATACCCTGGTCCAGTAGCCAAGGGTCATGACCGTCGGACGACTCAGATGTACGGGGACACGGATGAACCCCGATCTGATTGACGATAGGACGCGTCCCTGCAATTTCTAGAGGTGGTCTTCAGGTGATTACGCAAGAAGCTGGAGACACCAATGACTTTTGCTTTTCCAGATCATCGAAACGCCCTCTATTGCTCAATATACGGCTCGGAGGTCCTTATCATTTCTAGCGAAGTAAGGACTGTGGATAAAATACCTGACTTGAGCATTAGGAAAGGTTTATGTTAGAAATGCTTTCGTTATGAACCCACATATCGGAATTTGAAGGCCAACAGGTTTAGACTCATACTGATAGCTCGAGTTATATCGTCGAGTGTCTCGAGGACTGTGATTGTGACACACAGCTCCTCTCGTTTCACGCCAGCCTCATTCATGACCTATTCATACCCCTTGCATCGCTTAATCACCCCTTGCTTTGTCGCATTATGATTGATATTGTAGTAAGCTCTATATATCACAAAGACTCTTCATCGCACTGTCGAGGTCAACATCTCTGGCTAGCTGCTGCGACGAAGAGGTCATTCAGACCCCAGCAGACAACGACGACTGTCGATACTCGGGTATTACAACGTGTAGACTTCGTTCTGTCAGCGTACAACCGACCCACACCAGCTTACACTCTAGGAGCCACGGTGAGTGAGTAGTGGTAAATTCGAGGAATGGAGGTAGAGGGTAGACGGGTACTTTTACCGTATGCATCCAAGCGTTTGTGGTGGATATAGGCGAGTTTGTCGTAATAGCGGTCATCGTTTATCTCTAACCCAACAGTGACGGCGTCCGCAACCTCCGGCAGCAACCTGGCAGCGTGTAGGGTAGTGCACATCATTGCATGAGTGCGAGGTGGTGTTGGGGTTGAATATTGGATGATATATTATATTGAACAGTTCAAAGATCGGCGCGCCGAAGCCCGACCCGCCGATGGATTGCCGCGTGGGGTTCGCAACGCTAGCCGAGCACTAGAGACTGGCCCGTGCCGCTCGCTGTGATTGGGCGACTGGTGGCATTCTCGGGCCCGATATTCCTTCTCGCATGCGAACGATGTGATGCCTTGCGAGCCTCATGCGACGTTGAATCTCCGTCGGACATTTTATGACTCCCGAGCATGGACTCTAACTCTCCAGTGTATTATAAGATGCTGGCTGCCTGCCCTCAATCCATCTCATCATGCTTGCCATCTGACTACCTTTCTGGACAACCATACAGTTCGCCAATCCACTGATACTGTCTGCTTTTGAAGATGGCGTTGGACAATAAACAAACAGGTTCCCCTACCATGCAGGACCAATCGTCCAGAGAAGCTTCCCCAGAACGACACTCCATAGAGAAGCCCCAGTCGATTCACGAGAACTACGGGGTACAGCGAGCGTCTTCAGACATCGACGAGAAGAAATTAGCGCCCGTCCAGTCTGCTCAACCAGTATACCCAGGATGGAAGACACTGCTGCCAATTATAGTCTCAATTTACATGACTTTCTTTCTCATCGCTTTAGACAAGACGATCATTGGTGTTGCTATACCCAAAATCACAGATCAATTCGATAGTTTGAACGACATCGGTTGGTATGGCAGCTCGTACCTATTGACCAGTCAGTTGATGCTCCTACGTTGCCCTTTCATTGCTGATAATTGAGCAGCGGCTGCCACTCAACTGGTCTTCGGCAAGATCTACCAGTTCTACTCTCCCAAAACCGTATATCTCATCTGTATCGTCGTCTTCGAGCTTGGCTCGGCAATTTCTGGAGCCGCACCGAATTCAGGAGCTCTCATCGCCGGTAAAAGCTCTCTATCAAATATGCTGCTCTCACGCTGACAATGTACCAAAGGTCGAGCAATTTCAGGCCTGGGAGCCTCAGGCATGCAGAACGGGTCTGTTATCATTTTCATGCACATCGTACCGCTCCACCGTCAACCCATCTTCCAGGGCCTCATGGGCATGGTCTTCGGAATCTCGAGTGTCCTGGGCCCTCTCCTCGGTGGCGTCTTCACAGACCATTTGTCATGGCGATGGTGCTTCTACATTAACCTTCCCATTGGTGGCGTTGCATTCGTCGTCATCTTCTTCATTATGAAGCTTGACATTCAACGCCCGGCAAAGCTCACCATTCCGCAGCAACTCCTCAAGCTCGACCCCATTGGCAACGCATTCTTCGTTCCCGGTATCGTCTGTCTCCTCCTCGCCCTACAATGGGGCGGTGGCTCATACCCGTGGTCCAACCCACGCATCATCGCTTTACTTGTCCTTGCCCCGATCCTCCTCATCACTTTTATCGTCTCCCAATGCATCCTCGGCGAACGTGCCATGGTACCTCTACGCATCGTTCGCCAACGTTCAATTGCCGCATCCACTCTCTTCGCATTCTGTGTTGGCGGTCTTATGATTGTCGTCATATACTACCTACCTCTCTGGTTCCAAGCCATTAAGGGCGCATCTGCTCAGAAGTCCGGCTTCATGCAAATCCCCACCATACTCTCCATGGTCGTGGCATCTGTTCTCGGTGGCGTCGCAATCAAGAATATCGGCTACTATGCGCCATTCATGATTGCAACATCCGTGCTTACAGCCATCGGTGCTGGGCTATTGTCAACGCTCAATCCCGCTTCGGGGCATCCGCAGTGGATCGGATACCAATTCATCTTCGGTTTTGGACTTGGCCTCGGTATGCAGCAGAGCGCGACCGCAGTGCGAGCCAGTCTATCCAAGAAGGATGTCAGTATTGGCGTGGCGTGTGTATTCTTCTGCATGACGCTGGGACAAGCACTCTTCCTCGCAGTTGCACAGAGTATCTTCCAGTCTCAATTCAGATCAAAATTGAGTGCCATGACTGGTTTTGATGTCGCAGCAGTTATCGGCAGTGGAGCAACAGAATTCCGACAAATCGTGCCAGTGCAGAAATTGCCGGCAGTGCTTGAAGCGTATAGCGAAAGTGTGACGAACACTTTTTATATTCCAGTAGCGGTGGCGTGTTTGAGTATTGTTGGGAGTGGGTGTGTGGAATGGAAGAATATCAAGCTAGCAGAGAAGCCGAAGGAGGCTAAGGGAATGGCGGAGGCTTGATATGAACTAAAGGCTGCATTGTAGGCGTTGGCTGTAGCATATACTGACTCCACTCATTTGAGTAATATGCTGATATGCATTAATACATGATTGATGACCATTAACTGCTTTCGTTTTTTATTTGTCTCCGGCCTGAATTCATACCAAAGCATCCCCTGAAGACAAGTATTCCGCGTCAGGTCATGGAACTACTACGTGGTGTGCCACGCGGAGGGTTGCAAACATCCGGATGTCCGGGTCGAGGTTGCAGCTGCCACCTTACCAGTTCCCTGGTTCAAGCATGATTCAGTAATTAGCTGCAACCTCATCTGTTTCTAGACAATAAATTGTGGGGGCATCCGCGAATATAAAACCTGGCGCGCTACCCCTTTCGCCACCTTATCCTAACAACCTCTTCCTATTTTAACTTCTGACCTCTTCTACCATAAGGCGATATGTACTCGTTAACAAAGAGCACACGCATCCTGCATTGATGTTTGGACACAACGAGATATCCTTCGTCCGCTTGAAGATGATACCACGTCGCTTCTTACAGCAGCTATGCGTTGACGTCGATTCCGATGCGGTGAAGCAGAGGCTTACGAACTAATCATGATTGATCTACAGGCGTCAATGCAGAAGGCGTCATTGTACACTAAGAGCAGGGAGTTCATGGCGTCAGCAAGATGCAATCGAAAAGGCTGTTCTCAAATAGCAACATGAATATCCGAAGAAACCAAACACGAAAGATAACCTCTTGGGAACCAATTGTTGTGTTTATAGCGTCCAGTGTCGGAACTTATTGCTTGTCAGCTACACTATGTCTTGATCCATCGGGGGGGGGGGGGGGGCATATCAATCATTCCCGCTCTTTTAACTTCCATATCATTCCTCAATTTCGCCTAGGTCCTCCAGATGAGCTCCAATGGCAATAAAGTCTGTTTCATCGGACAATTGCCAACCTTCATGGCCGTTCCAAGGCGCCTGAGGCGACAATGGAGATCGCTCCTCTAAAGGGTCATTGTGTGCCCAAGTCGACCCATCGTTGTCTTCGTCATCTTGATATAATTGTTATAGCCACGAGGTATGTTGTAGTTGTGAAAGACCTTACCATTATCAACACTCTCAGCGTACTCAGGACTAGCCCCATCCGCGGCATTCTCGTTGCCCTCATCATCTTCCCGGTTGTCGTCATCGTTATCCGAACTGCTGTCATCCTCGTCCTCATTCTCATTGCCACCATTCTCTTCGTCGCTGTCTTCGTTGTTTGTATAACTTCCACTATGGTTGCCCTCACTGTCGTCTGACTCTACACGCCGGCCATAATCTGTTATAGATAGTATTGTCAGCTCGTTAATGGCCAACGATCCACCAAGAGCAGGCTCACAGCCATTTTCATCGTTTTCGGGAGCCATGTATCCCCCTGGATAGCTACTGTTCGTTCGAGATCGATCGAGGATGTGACTAAGTCACTTTGAGTTGCTAAGGAGATCAAAGCTCCCTCTCTACCGAGTCTGAAGAGGAGGTTCATATATCGAAGGACTGTGCGAATTAAGAATTCAGTATAACTCAATGGTCGGATAGAGATCACAATTTATCGGACTCACTTACAAGAACGCTGCATTCGCATCGCCCTGTCGAGACCAATGAGCACTGGAATCTACCAAACCACCCTGGGTCTTTGACACCAGCATCCGAATATACGGCTCCCTACTTGAACTGACCTCATTACCGCCTATTAGCGTGTGGAAACACGAGATGTGCAGAAGTTGCTTCGTGGTTGGCACGACTTTGAACGGTAGGGAGAAAGTTCGGTTGTCCCATTCAAGCTGGACCGAGAAGAGACCATGTCGGTATCCTTGTTTAATGAGGAGAAAGCGTGGGGTTATGCCTTTTGTCCCCTTGTTATCGTTGACTCAGGCAGCTCTAAATGCACTGCTGCCTGTCTCACGCGGCACAAAAGTGTACACTTAGGATATTTTCTCTGGGTTGAGAGGGTATCATGAAGCAACAGACAGACTGGCCGCGTGACTCATTTCAAGGCTGACCAGGTTCAAGAAAGACTGCCTACTACATTGGTTGCTTTGTCCAGCATTAGAGCCGTTTTGGCGAGTTCGGATGAGAACATCGAGAGCCAGTATTTCCACCAAACGGCTCTCAGATGCCACTCGTACAGATACTACCATCATGGAAGCGCGCCATGGGTAGTAGCAACAGAGCCACTCCACCAAGTCACGATCTTCGGCAATGATGCGCTCTCCAGCCAGGGTCAGACTGGCCTTTCTCCAACACCATCCTTCTGTACCACAACCCGTGAGGAAGATAATGCTTCCAGTATGCAATAGCTCTGGCGCTTAGATGCGTCTACACTTCCAGGCAATCTTGATCAGAAATACCTTCTCTCATTGCAGAAAATTCAGACTTCTTATACTGCCTTTGATTGCTCGAGTTTGCAATGTCAAAGATTTCACAACAAAGCAAGATGCGGGCCAGTCTGCTCTTCTGCTCTCAACCCTGCAAGAACTGGTGTTCGGATGCTATACTGTGGTCAGGGCAGTCCTCCAAGCATCGCTGGCAGCAAAGGCGTGCATGCATATGCGGAGAGCTCTTAGCTGCAGAGAGAGCCAGATGACCGCTACCTTCCACTACCACTCTACCAGCTACGCTCATGATAGTACAACTGCAGAGCCTCATAAGATTTTCATTGCAATGCAAAAGCCAGCATACTGGTCATCTCACTGACTGTCGTCTCAGCTACCCGTTCAACTTTTTGCAGAACTGATGCTAAGCACACTTGGCACGGCAGTTACGATGACTTCAATGAAGTTGCCCTCTATCGATCCTTGGAATGAGTCCGTTGACCGGTCGCCGCCTTTACTACATGAGACACCTCACATTTGCGATAGGGAACGCGACATCGGATCCCCGTCGTCTTCATGGAGTAATACACCAGTCCCCAACGAGTTCTCATAGACGTGCAGCATCTGCACAGGCGCTGCTACAGCTGACTGAAGTCCGCTGAGCGAGACTGGGGCTCTGGTCGCCCTGACAGTTTTCCCCCACGCGGGTACGATATGTGGCCTATGTTAAAGGCTATCACTACTTTGGAAAGAGGGTCGTAGTTTGCCTTCTAGACATCTTTCGGGACAATAGACCTTGCGATACTCCTCTTGCGCGATTTTTCAAGCCTTGAAACGTTGCTTCGAGGCCTTTTACCCTTTTGGTCTTACACGGACCTCAGTGACCACCTGTATCATCCCACATTAAGATGATCGTTTCCATCCACATCAGGATTTCGACAGTCCATGCCTGCTAGTTCATCATTTTTTTAGAGAGTTGTGGAGACAACACCGTGGTCCTAATTTCCATCCTCGTGGTCAGACCAATTGACGACCATATCCTCCGCATGCAAGTTGATAGAGTCAGCAGCAACGTGCGAACTACTGGGGACAGAAATCCGATTAATATGTTTTAGAAGTGGGCGTTCTTGCTACGCTATAACATATTGGTCAAGATGGGGATCTATGCCCTATACAAGGATATTATGGCCCAAGTCTCGGCCTGCGTCGTTTATGCTGTAGCACATGTCAATTGGTCGCATGGGATGATAGCAAGCGGCTCGATATCCTTGGTGCTGCTGCACTTACTTGCAACAATATGTGAACAGCTTCCGTGATTGGTCACTTGAACGGTAAGCTCGTCGAGGCTCTATATACTGGTGCTATGGCCTCCATCTTCTATCCAAGTTTTCCTGGGGCCGAAACGTATCCACGCAGACAGCAGCCATCACCCTATCTCTGGAATCTTGATATATGCCTTGCTACTGATACAATCTTGATGGGCCTATAGCCATCTTTACTAGAGATACCCATCATTTAGGGCAGAGCTCAGACAACAAGAGTGATGCGGTGAAACAATCCAGACGGACCGCCTGTAAGACTTCAAGCAATAATGTCCCTGTTGATGATATCCTTGTTAGAGTCACGGTGGTCGATGCAGCGAGAATGTTGATAACAGCTCGCCTTTCTTTGGCGTTAGTAGCATGATCTGCCGTCATAATTCTAGTTCTACGCGCTGAATCGCTCAGTGGGCAGCAGTGAGCCATGTAGATACCCACTTACCCTGTAGACATCGTTGACAGCATTTAGGGGCATCTGAAGTCCTCTCCACATCATTGCACGTCATCTGAGCGACGCTACTGCACCATCGCTGCGTATGCAGGCCTCAGCCCAGCCGCACCTAAGATCGCCCCCTCGCCGTTGGTCTCCGAGGCCATACAGTATTCGACTTGCATGAAAGAGCTGCACGGAAGACTGTCAATGCTGCGAGATGGACTCAAGTCTGTCTGTCTGTGAGGAAAACCCTCAACCATATCGTCCAGCTTGGCAGCCATGTCATCTCGACTAGATCCTAAGATGGGATTGATATCCCGCACAGAGCTCAGCTGAATAACTGCTTCCCGGACAAAATTCGACGCGGCTATGACCCATGAGCTTATCATCAAGAATGACATAGCAAGGCTTTGACACCAAGAGGTGGTACCGTCGAAGGTAATAAGGATTGTCGTTCCGTCCGGCATCGTTCCGAGATGTATCTGAGTGGGACCAGTGCTATAAGCAGGGTGGACAGGTTTCTGTACTATGTGCTAATAAAAAAGAGTGTGATCAGGAAATACAACACCCGGCAAGTGGTCTTTGAGCTGTATCGCAGTTCTAGCAGAAGGCTATGATCAAAAACCGGCGGCACTGAGTTCTAGACCTCCCACTAACAGCTCACATTTAACGACTGGTCGCATGATGCTTCCTTCAATACTGTCGATCTCTTCCTCCATCTCACCATCCTTCTCATAACTGAACCAGCGCGTGCACCCCGAAGAAATGCGTTTCAATAGGATAGCCAACCGTCGCGATCAACAAAGTTTTGCTTTGCAGTCCGCCAATAGAAGCCCCAAAACATCAAGAGAGCCTCGTTTGGAGATAAATTGATCTATTCATGGCCAGACGAATGACGTAGCGTCGATCCTCCTGACCTTATAGATCACACATCGTAGCTCATGATCACGAAAGGGAACGATATGTTATATGCAATTACATATTCAGTGGCTCATGCGCAACCAGAGTTCCTATCAATCAGTCCAACTTCAATTCTGCCTCTCTAGAATTGACTTAGTCTAGTTCAACTAAGGCCTCTTGCTAAGGGTTAGATCTTCAGTCTAATTTAATTCTAGGGCAGGATTAAGTTACTAATAGTTAAGTTAAACTAAAGTTATATATAGTATATATATATATAGAGTAGTGTTTTTAGGTGTTAAGTTTAGGGAGCTACCTACTAAGGATAGTCCGTTAGCTAATAGTAACCTATACTAGTCTCTCTACGTCTAGCCTATTCTAGCTATTATTCTAAGCCTTATATTTTTAAAGTATTTACTATCTCGACTTATAATTATTACGTCTACTACTACGCGTTAACACTATTAATATAGCTTCTTAGCGCCTAGTTTACGCGCCTAAAGTATACTCTCGTAATATATTTAAATAGTAATATTCCTAGGTCGAGTATATATAGAGAATCGCGCGTCCTAGGAAGTCCTAGAATATATTACCTCTTAATAAAGATAATAAAGATAATAATAATAATATAACTACCCGTAGGCTAATACTACTATCTCTATCTAGCGCTAGCCCTATACTATACTAGCCTATACCTAAAGATCTATATAGCTACCTAGTATAAGAGAGAGAGATAATAGAGATAGGTAGTACTAGAGGAGATAAAGATAATAAAGATTCCTAGAGTTTTATAGGCCTAGACATAGAGTCTTTATATAAGGGTGTTATATAGTCCCGCCTTCTAGGCTTTATAAAATCTATAGCACTACTTAAGCGCGTAAACGCGTTTAGCTAGATCTAGAAGTATAGTTTCCGTCTAGAGTAAATTAGTAATAGAGATAAGTACTAGTAGTATTAAGTCTACTATAAAGAGAAACGTATAGGAGGGAGATTTAAGGTAGCCTTAACTACTAACGCCGTAGACTATCTCTATAATATATACTAGTAGTACCTAAGTAGTAAGAGGAAGTGTAAGGAGAGTAATATACTAAAGATAATAGTTAAGAAGGCTAGGATAGATTAGACTACGGTAAATCTACTTATCTAGACCTTTCATCCTAATAGATTTAACTAACTACTAGTAAAGTAGGTTATACTTAACTTATAGTCTCTTTACGTTATCGAAAACCCTTATCTCCATAAAGCTATCTTAAGAGTAAACCTAGAGGTAGAAGCCTTAATATAGGAGAGTACGGATACCCTTTAAAGCTATATCTTAAATACCTATAGACGTGGCTTAGCACGACTTTATAAGGTCCTTAGTACTACTATCTTAAAGATTTATATTATGTTTAATAGCTGGAGTTCACGGAACTACTATCTATCTCTATAATTCTATATAGCGCACTTTATAAATAAGAAGGGTATCTTTATTAATATCTTCTTAGAATTACCTAAGGTTAGAGGTAGCTATACTAGTAAAAACTTTAGAGATTTAACTCTCGTAGTACTTAAGAGGTATAGGATTAAGGATAATGTAAGAATAGGGTTATTAGATAGTAGTGTAGTTAGATAGAATAATAGGGTGTATTCTATTATAGAACGAATTACTACCGAACCCTTTTAGTAGGAATCTAAGAGTATATATATAAAGGGACGCTAATCTATCTAGCACGTAACTATTTACCGCCCTTCACGTTACCTCCTAACCCTATTAGCTAAGGTATATATAGGTTAGGTCCTACCTAAGGCTAAGTCCTAATAATTATTCCTTCCCTCTAGGAAGCTACCCTTAGCGACCTAGATTATTATCTATCTCTATATCCCTATCCTAAGTCTCGTAAGACCTTAGTTATTCTCTACGCTTCGTCTTAGATACTTACCGATATTCGCTAATCTAAGATTTATATAAGCGTTTTCCTAATAAACTAGATTTTATCTATCTTAACTTCTTATATAGGTGAGATTACCTAATTAGACCTAGCGTATCACGTA